CCAACCAGGGCCGGGGACAAACTACAACTGAGGTACGCGCCCTAGCAGGAACTGAACCCAGGTCTCTCTGGACCGCAGGCCGATGCTCTAACCACTGAGCAAAACTAGCCAGGGCAAGACTTTACAGTTTTTATCAGTCCCATGAAGGAACTAAAAGTGGATTTTTCAACATCCAGCAAAGTTGTGATCTCTAAGGGAAAACAACGTTCCAGTTCATTGTAGTATGTTTTTAGTTCTCCCAAAAGTGTCTGAGTCCCCTCCACACAGGCAAGAAACATGTACATGTGAACAAGTAAAAACTTAACTGAAGAGAGACAACTAGCCCTGGCCAGTTTGGCTCAGCGGTTAGAGCGTCGGCCTGCGGTCCGGAGAGACCCAGGTTCGGTTCCCGCTAAGGGCACGTACTTCGGTTGCAGTTTGTCCCCGGCCCTGGTTGGTCGTGCGGGTGGCAGCCACTTGATGTGTCCCTTCACATCGATGTTTCTCTCTCTCTCTTCCTTCCTCTCTCTCCCTCCCACTCTATCTGTACAAAAAATGGAAAAATATCCTCGGGTGAGGATAAAAAAAAAAAAAGAGAGAGAGAGAGACAACTCAAGCTCAAGCTCCCTCTGACAGACATAGCTGACGCAGCAATACATGCAAGGCATATCTCAGCACTACACCACTGGCTGCTGGGATAGCATAATGGGGCTGTGATGCACTCATTGGTTCTACCTTGTAGCTAACTTGTAGCCTACATTGGGCCTAACTTGTAGCTCAGCTTGCTTCTCTTTACAAAGTCTTAATTTCACAAAGTGAGATTTATTACCATATAGAAAGAGACCATCAAATGCCTTTCCCAGCCCCCACCATTCCTGGAATTTCCGCCTTTTGAAATAAGATTGGGTCCTGGTATACTGTAAATGCCACAGGGTAGTATGTTATCTGTCTTTTTACTTGTTTGTGTCTCACAGCAGATCCAGAGCTCCTTGGGAACAGCTGTCCCAATTCCAATCTCCAGTGCCCTGCACAGAGGGTGCCAAATACTTGGTAATGAATTCACTGTAGAATGAATGAGTAACATTAGGATGTGCAAACTCACTTATATCTTAGTTTGAATGAATTTCTTCAGGCCCTTTCCTATGAGTTACATAAGAGTTAAGAGAGCCGTGAAGAGGAGAAAGTGAGCCTGAGAAAGGTGCTTTTCTGTTCTTCCTAGCAGCATTGTCCTGCTATGGATCAGACTAAAGGAGCATAGTTCTTCAAAGGAAACCCAAGATTTTTGTTTGAATGGCATATGAAATGATCATGGAAGTCTCTCTACACTTCAAAAATCTATTTCCATGAGATATTAACAATTGGCAACTGTTTACTGATAGTAAAGTAAGATCAAGAAACAGAGACCCTGATCTTTCAGACTTCTTTTCTAACATTCCTGGTATAGTACTCAATCAGCTGCTAATGCTTAAATTAATCCACAACATAAAGAACACTGGATTAGCAAAATATTATCTAGCCAATGCAATATGACCAATTGTTAAAACCCAGTTTCTGGAATCGGATAAGCTGAGTTTGAATCCTGGCTCCAGTGCTTATTTAAACTCTGCAAACCTGAGTTTCCACATCTGAAAAGACAGATAACAAATAAAACCTATCCTATGGGGTTGCAGTAGGTTTAAATAAGAATGCATAAGCCCTGGTCGTTTTGGTTCCACAGTTAGAGCGTCGGCCTGTGGTCCAGAGAGACCCGGGTTCGGTTCTTGCTAAGGGCATGTACCTTGGTTGCAGTTTGTCCCCGGCCCTGGTTGGATCGAGCAGGAGACAGCCACTCGATGTGTCCCTTTCATGTTGATGCCTCTCTCTCTCTCTCTCTCTCTCTCTCTCTCTCTCTCTCTCTTCCTTTCTCTCCCTCCCACTCTACCTTAACAAAAAATGGAAAAATGTCCTCAGGTGAGGATGAAAAAAAAAATTAAGTTTAATGGATGGTCTCTTTCATCAATGTTTCTATCTCTCCTTCTCACTTCTCTCTATAAAATCAATAAAGGAAAAAATATTTTAAAAAAAGAAAAGAATGGCCCTGGCCGGTTTGGCTCAGCAGTTAGAGTGTCGGCCTGCAGTCCTGAGAGACCCGGGTTCGGTTCCCGCTAAGGGCACGTACCTCAGTTGCAGTTTGTCCCCGGCCCTGGTCAGTCGTGCGGGTGGCAGCCACTCGATGTATTCCTTTCACATCGATGTTTCTCTCTCTCTCTCTGTTCCTCTCTCTCCCTCCCACTCTACCTGAACAAAAAAATGGGAAAATGTCCTCGGGTGAGGATAAAAATATATATATATATATATAGAAAAGAATGCATATAGCCCTGGTTGGTATGGCTCAGTTGGTTGAGTGGTCATGGGTTTGATTCCCAATCAGGGCATATACCTAAATTTCGGGTTCGGTCCCCAATCTTGGGAGGCAACCAATGGATATTTTTCACATCAATGTTTCTCTATCTCTCCCCCTTCCTCTCTAAAACAATTAAAAAAAAAAAAAAAGAAGAATGCATGTAAACTGCTTAGCACTGCTGGCACATAGGAAGTTCTCAAGAAATGTGAACCATCATTTGAAAACCTTAGTTCCCATTTTACTACAACCTCCCTGTGTACCCTTAGACTAATCACTATGAAGCAGCTAATGAAAACATGGAAACAATTAACTGCCCTCTAATGCTGGGATTATCAATCATGAAAAGGGTAACAGAAAATGACTAAAATTTCACCCAGGTTGTAGGCCAGATCCCCAGTGGGGGGTATGCAGGAGGCCGCCAATCAATGTTCTCTCTCATCAATGTTTCTATCTCTCTCTCCCTCTCCCTTCCTCTCTCTCTCTAAAAGCAATAAAGAAAAAAGAAAAAAAATTTTTAAAGAAAGAGACTGAAATTTTGAAAAATAAAAGCCTTAAACAATTCTAGATATTTTTGTTGTTGTTGTACTTGAAGCTTGCATATGTTTGATGACAGATAACTCAGCATTAGTGGAAAAGCCAAACTTCAAAGCAGGTATTCTCAAATACTTTAGTGCCTTTTGTAGATGATGGACTCTATGAAACACCTTGTTAGGGATGGAGATAGGGCATATCTCAACATTAACTAGCCCAATAACTATCTTGTCACCCTTTTTTCACATATGAGGTTAAATCAGTTTTCTTCCTCATACCTTAAAATGCACTTGTTGTACATGTATTACATAGCATCCAAATAAAGACCAATGTTCAATCAAGCTGCTGTGTTACACAGAGTCATTACAAGTGCATAGGCCCCTTTGTAAGAATTAGATAAAAGGCACCCAGAACACAGGCTGGTTTTCTGTCTCCACTTATCCTGAGTTGGGAACCTCTATTCAAGGGCACAATCAAAATGGTAGTTATGCAGATAAGCACAAAGATATTCAGTATTTAACTGGCATACTGTTTATCATACACAACACAAATCCTCAGACATGACTGAAAGTTGTCAAGAATTTAACTAAATAAAAGAAGAAAAATATTCATGAAACCTGAAAATATGTAGCTTCAGAAAGTTCGAGAGCAGGTCCTGTCCCCTCCCTCACCTTTTACTGGGATATTGTAGCTAAAAGGAACTTGGTAGGTAGAGGCTTATATATTGCAAAATTCTGATCCCTGGCAAAGCATGGTCTTTCTCCAGCAGCTGCTCACTATCTCAAAAGAAGGAAGGAAAGAGAGAAATAAAAAACGAAAACCCACAGACACCTATGGATCAACTTACCTGTGTTTGCAAAAACAGTGGTAAATGAAAGGCTGTTGTCTTGTTGTTTTGACTGCATTAAAAATCTGTAAACCCAGGCAAGAATATGCTAACTGTTGGAGGAACTAGTCTTAAAATGGTAACTCTGTCAATTCAGCCTCCTTGAGCTTTTCCCTCCCAGAAACCTGATACTCATACAAAAAAGACACAAAAATATTTTTGTTTACTATTACATATGCATATCTATACTGCTAAACTTTTTAATGGTAGCCTTCCTTAGTAAGTACATGATATTACATTTTTAACACTTTTGTACCTAGTCCTGTGACCTGCATAACACAGCAGCTTCAAGAGCTATTTATGGAACAGAAATTCCAGGGTAAATATGGTACCTTATTTAACACATGCACAAGGAGACAATGTACAAGAATATTGATTGCAGTGGTTATGGTAGATATGTAAGTAATCTAAATGTCTAATAAAGGGACAATGAATAAATTATAATACAGTGATACAATGGAAAATCATGAATTAAAACAAAAAATGTAAGCTACCAGCTCAAATTGAGGTATTTTATGGATAAACTGCAGACATAACACAGAGTAAAAGAAAAGCAAACTGCAGAATGATACAAATAGGATAATACTATTTATATAAGATATTAAAACTCTCAACATTACCTCTGCCTTAGAATTTGTTATAACAGTTGTATATTCATTACAGTATATGCACACTAAAGGCCTAGGGAATATTCACTTTAAAAATAATAGAAAATTAAGGTTAAAAAAGGACTATAAATCAAATAATGTTCCCCAAATGGCAGGGAAGGAGTCTGATTTAGTAATGGAAATCATTTAGCCCTTTAAGTCATAAGATGTGTGTTCTATCTCCATTCTGCCACTCACCAAGCTTCAGTTTGCTCACCTAAATGGGGTTGACAACGCCTGCTCACAGGATAAAGTGAAAAGTGTACGCAACAGTTATACAGAAGGGGGGGGGGGGATGTTGAGTCTGCACCTTTCTCGTCTAGTTTGGTAAATCGTTAAGTACGATAAAGAACACAACAGGAAAAGGCAACCCCTCACTTTCCTCTTACCAATCCCCAATCTGGCTGCGTCCTACGCCTTCTGTATTTAGCACACCCCCTGCCCCCCCAAACCCTAGGCACACAGGAACTCCCCGAGGCGCACATGCGGGAGTGAACCCACATTTGCCACACGGAATGCGTTCGCGGGGCCGCGCCTGTGCCCCGGGCTGGCCGCGGCGGGCGCTGCGCCTCACCTGTCTTGAAGACCATCTGGTCATCGTCCTTGGACCCGAAGGTCTTCAGCATGGACACGAAGAGCACCCCGCAGGCGTTCTGGACGCCAAACACCGACCCGTTGCACCACATGGCTGCCAGCATCACCAGCCAGCCCCAGCCGCCCTCGGGAGGCTGAGGGGGCTCGGCACCCGCCGGCCCCGCCAACTCGACCTCTACTTCTACCTTCTCGGCGGCCGCCTCGGGACTGTCTGAGGGTCCCAGGTCGGGCAGCGGAGCAGCCCCCACGGGCGCGGGGCCGAGCGACTCTGCCTCGCTCGTGCCCTGCGCGGCGACGGGCTCCGCAGGGGAGGGCACCATGGCCCCAGCCGGCCCCGTCGGGCGCCGCGGGAGCACCAGGGGCGCGAGTTCCCGGCGGGCTCCCGGGGGAGCTGCCCAGAACCCGGCGGGCGGGCTAGCGAGGCCGAGGCGAGGGCTGTTGGAGCCCCGGGTGGGCGGGCGGCGTAGGGCGCCGAGGCTGCCGCGAGAAAGGCGGCTGCGCGGAGGAGCCTCAGGGCTCAGGACTCGGGCCTCCTAGTTAGTCCACAGCCCGGCACCCCTATGGAGCCGGGGCCGACGGCCGGCTCTTAAAGTCGCCCCCAGCCCCGCCGGCTGGGGGCGTGGCCGGCAGCGGGACGTGCCCAGGATCGTCAAATGATTGGGCTTCAGGAGAGCGGAGGTGGGGCCCACCTCTTCACCCCCCGCGGAGCGCAGACCCAGGTGCCGGCGAGTGGCAGTAAATGCGCGCGCCTGCTGCGGAGCCGCCTCCTACCCTCTGCGGGGTCACAGATGTGTAGGTCACCCGCCTCAAAGCGTCGCCTAGGTGCAGGCTGGTGGCTCCACGTGGCAGCAGTGTGGGATCTTGTCTCAGCTCACTGACAGTCTCACACCAAACATTGTCTTTTGGTTTTGTTTTTTAGCGTTCACCTCTAATTACTAATTACAACATGTAAGATACATTATGCCACCTGCTTACTTAAAAAAGAGTCGGAAGGATCAGAGACCTTATTTAATTACTACATTTCTCCTGCATTTATATACAGTTTCCTATAAATACTTGGCTCATTGAAGAAGCTCATTTTGGAAGACACAGACTGTAATACCAAAGTCTTCAAATAAACATTTTTGACCGCTAGAAAACATTACTTTTAAACTACAGCACAGTTGTTTGTACTTAAAAACTAACACCTATATGCAACTGCTCTGTCTCCTTGAAACATGGAACAACGATGTAGGAAAAGAAAGGAAGAGTAATTAGCTATGCAATATTGAGCACACTTCTTAATTTCTCAGTTACTCAGATTCATCATTTCAAAGACTGAATGTGCTAGTTACTTTATGTACCCACCACTGTGATGGAGTACACAGATGAGTGTGATTGATCGCTTTTCTGTCTCTACCCTTCATAAACTAGTAGGAAAAAATCCTGGGATAAAATAGGAGACTCAGATGGTGTGTTATAATACATGTTCAGCAAAGAGAAGTGGAATGGGACCATTGAAATACATTTGAAACGCTAGAGAAAACCTTCTACAGCAAGTAGCCTTTTGGGCTGAGCCTTGAATCAAACAGGGAACTTCAGCAAGCAAAGATAGGGGAAGAGCATTCTAGGTGGAGAACAGATAGCAAAGCTGAGGAAAGCAAGGTGTGCTTGAGAAGCAGTGAACATAGCTCAAGTATAAGGTGTCCTAGGGGTGGGGTTAGAATAATAAACTAAAAATAGTCACACAAGTGGGAAAAAAAAAGAATATACAAGTATGTTGTTCCATCATTGTTGGAAGTAAGGGAAAAAGGGAAGCAAAAAGGTGCATCAGTAGAGGGTTGGTTAAATAATATATAACCTCTAAAAGTTATCATGTTCACTCTATTGACTTTAAAAGTTGTCCACAACATTTTATTGGGGGGAGGGGAAGCACATCAATAAAGTATGGATTATAACGCAAAATATAAAATAAATATCGATGAGTTAATACTGATAAAAGTAAATGATTAAGTACATAAATGGAGGGGGGGCATAGACAGATCTCTCCTACAGAAAATTCCCAATAATATGCCAACCTCAAGGAGGTGAAGTACAATATCTCACTCCTTAAGTGTGGACTGTACATAGAGTTCCTCCAAAAAGAACCGTATGGAAAAGGGAGGAATGCAGGGTGGCCTTAAGAGTGCAAAAACTGCCCTGGCCGGTTTGGCTCAGCGGTTAGAGCTTGGGCCTGCAGTCCTGAGAGACCCCGGTTTGGTTCCCGCTAAGGGCGCGTACCTCGGCTGCAGTTTGTCCCCGGCCCTGGTCGGTTGTGCGGGTGGCAGCCACTCGATGTGTCCCTTTCACATCGATGTTTCTCTCTCTCTCTCTGTTCCTCTCGCCCCCCCCACTCAACCTAAAAACAAAAAATGGAAAAATGTCCTCGGGTGAGAATAAAAAAAAAAAAAAAAAAAAAGAGTGCAAAAACTGCCCTGGCCGGTTTGGTTCAGCGGTTAGAGCGTCGGCCTGCAGTCCTGAGAGACCCCGGTTCGGTTCCCGCTAAGGGCGCGTACCTCGGCGGCAGTTTGTCCCCGGCCCTGGTCGGTTGTGCGGGTGGCAGCCACTCGATGTGTTCCTTTCACATCGATGTTTCTCTCTCTCTCTCTGTTGCTCTCTCTCCCTCCCACTCTACCTGAACAAAAAATGGAAAAATGTCCTCGGGTGAGGATAAAAAAAAAAAAAAAGAGTGCAAAAACTGCCCTGGCCGGTTTGGCTCAGCGGTTAGAGCTGGAGAGACCCGGGTTCGGTTTCCGCTAAGGGCACAAACCTCGGTTGCAGTTTGTCCCCGGCCCTGGTTGGTCATGCGGGTGGCAGCCACTCGATGTGTCCCTTTCACGTCGATGTTTCTCTCTCTCTCTCTTCCTCTCTCTCCCTCCCGCTCTGTATGAACAAAAAAATGGAAAAATGTCCTCGGGTGAGGATAAAAAATAAAATTAAAAAATTTTTAAAAAATGGCTGTATCTTTAAAAAAAAAAAGAGTGCAAAAACTACTTCAGCCATGTGATCAAGTTGTATCCCTGATATGTTGTGACAAAAATGACACTTTATCACTGTGATCTTCCCCCAAAAAACCCATAACCCCAGTGTAATCATGGAGGGAAAAAATAAAACAAATCCCAATTGAGGAACATTCCTCAAAATAATTGACCAGTACTTCTCAAAACTGTCAAGGACATCCAAACAAGCAAAGTCTGAGAAATTGTCACAGCCAAGAGGAACTGGAGAAATGATGACTAAATATAATGGTAGGATGGGATCCTGGAACAGAATAACAACATTAAGTAAAAACTAAGGAAATCTGGGTGAAATATAAAGTTAGTTCATTATTAATATTAGCTCATTAATTATAACAAATGTGGAATATTAATTAAGATGTTAACAAGAAAAACATCTAACAAAAATAAATAAGTTAATAATAATAATTAAGATGTTAATAATTGGAGAAATTGGATGCAGGGGTATGGGAACTCTGTACATCTTTGCAATTTTTTTATAAATCTAAAACTCTATTTTAAAAATGAGTTGATTTCATCTTGCAAAAATGTATATATGTGTGTATGTGTGCATATCAATGTATTAAACATAATAGTATATTTTTAAACTTTCATTTTACATGTAAGTGCTATATATATATATATATCACACACACACAGAGGCTACAAAATGTTATCTTTGAGTATATAACTCTTTCTCAAAATTTTTACTATTTGTGTATAAATATATTTCTAAACATTATATAATGTACCCTAATTTCATATTAAAGTTTGACACTTGTCAGGGAAGATTGATATTATGAGCAGCTCTGACTTAAAGAATTAAAGAGTTAACATCTACAAAGCACTTAGCACACAGCAAGCATTCAGGAAATGTTATCAGTGATTATTATCATTACTACTGATGATGTCAATGTTTCTTTCCTTTGTAAAAAAAAAAAAATGTTTTTATTGATTTTTTAGAGAGAGAGATAGAAACTTCGATGTGAGAGAGAGAAACATTGATCTGCTGCTTCCTTTACACCCCCTACTGGGGATGGAGCCCACAACCCTGGGCATGTGCCCTGACTGGGAATGGAACTGGGGCCTCTCAGTCCATGGGACCTAAGTTCAATCCACTAAGCCACACTGGCAGGGCAATGTTTCTTTCTAATGGTCTCTCATAACCACTGCTTTGTTGGGATCAAAGTAATTCAAATGGATGTTTACATTTTTATAGACACAACTTTTATTTAATCACAATTATATCAGGTCAGAAAATTAAAAAATAAAAAGATTTAAATTTAGAATTTTAGACATTCTTGTCCTTAATTATTATGTTATCTATGCCTTAAAGATAAATTTTTATTTTCTACCAGTTAGTCTTTCCCCAACTCACAAAAGGCACCACTTACAAAATCTGATACAAAACCTCTTACTACTAACTTGAGCTGTTTAGCTCAATCACTCCAGGACAAAGTATTCTTCCAGACTATGGTCTGAGTTAGGGATGTATGCTGAACTTCACCAATAAAAACTAAGTTCCAGTCCAGTTACTCTAGAAATTGGCTATGCTTTCATCTACACTGCTTTTCTCAAATTTCTAAGTTAGCAAAAGAAAAGATTTCATGATGTGAAATGAAATAATAGAACAAAAGCACTTTGAAAACTATAAAGTGCCTTAAACAATAAAATAAAAGTGTTACTTTAAGTTTCTATGCTCCAAGAAAAAGATATTCTGGACCCCAAATTGGATTCTGGGCTGAACTCATAAAATCAAACAAGTTTGTGTTTAGCATTAAAAAAAATTTTTTTTTACAGTGAAGTGGGCATACATTATAGTAATTTCAGGTATACAACAGAATGATTTTACATTTCTATACCTCATGATGTGATCACTATACTAAGTCTAATAACCATCATCACCATGAAAAGTTATTACAATATTGTCCTGGCTGGTGTGGCTCAGTTGGTTGAGCATTGTCCCATGCATCAAAAGGTACCCAGTTCAATTCCCAGTCAGGGCACATGCCTGGGTTTCAGGTTCAGTCCCTGGTAGGGGGCATGCAGGAGGCAGCAGATTGATGTTTCTTTCTCCCTATGCCTTTCTCTCTCTCTAAAATCAATGAAAACATATTTTAATAACATTATTACAATAGTATTGACAATATTCCCCATGCTGTACACTACATCTCTGTGGCTTATTTATCTTATAATTGAAAGTTTGTAGCTCTTATTCCCCTTCACCTTTTTATTCCTTTCCCCACCCCGTTCCCCTCTGGCAAACCATCAGTTTGTTCTCTTTCTATGACTCTGTTTTGATTTTGTTTGTTCATTTGTTTTATTGTTTTAGATTTCACACACAGGTGAAACCATACAATATTTGTCTTTCTCTGTCTGACTTATTTCACTTAACATAATACCCTCTAGGTCCATTCATGTTGTCACAAATGGCAAGATTTCACTCCTTTTTATGGTTGAACAATATTCCATTGTTTGTA